AACTAGAACTCCCAGGCTCCTGGTGATTGGGTCCAAAGTCACCCAGCTGTCTTTCATGGCTAAGGTGGGACTAGAACTCTCCATCTCCCACTTTCTCGCCTGGTGTCTTAACCACTAAATTAAACTGGCTTTCTTTGTCCAACTGTACTCCTTCCGAATAGAAATCTTGGCTGCTTCACTTAACAGCTGCAGTAAAAATGGTCATAAAACGTAGTCATTTCACATCATGGCTCGCTTAATAAGTGCATTGGCTAATCATCGAAATTTCAGGCCCAGTTGCGGTCATAAGTCAAGGATTACTTCTACCTACTGAATCATATGATTGAAAATATTTCTTCTCCATCTATCCCAACATTTCTGTGGCTTGAGAGGAGTCCAACTCGGCTTCAGATAGTACCCCACTTCTTTTCGTGAACATCAAAAATAAAAAAAAATAAAAAAAACACAGAGCAATACACATAGTCCTCGATTTAAGACAGTTCTTTTAATGGCCAGTTGAATTTAAAATGGCACTGAAAATAAGTGACTTCTGACCATTTTTTTTTTCCTACACTTACAACCGTTGTTGCATCCCCTTGGTCCCATGATTAAAATTCGGAGGCATGGCAACGGACTCATATTTATGACCGTCAAAAGTTCCCAGGGGGGTCACGTGATCCCCTTTGTGACCTTCTGACAAGCAAAGTCAACGGGGAAGCCAGATTCACTTAACCACTGGATTACTAATTTATCAACTGCAGTGATTCCCTTATCAACTGTGGCAAGGAAAAAAAAAATCATACAACGGGACAAAAACTCACTTATCAAATTTTCACAGAAATTTTGGGCTCAATTGTCGTAGTAAGTTGAGGACTGCCTGTTTTTAATGTCGTTGGGGGAGGGGTGTCACTAAGCAGGGTCCTGGGATCATGTGATCGTATTTGCCACCTTCTGTCAAGAGAAGACAATGTGGGGGGCCTCCTGTCAACCCTGAAGCAGACCTGACGGAGGTCATTTTGAGGCCACACTGGAGCTGAGCGATAGGGAGAGAATAGAGATAGCTGGGGTTTTGTAGCCAAAACAAAATACTTTCTCCTGGGAACCAAGGACATTCCCACAGGTGGTCAAAGAAAGGGGGTGTCATGCCCTTTTCGGAGACTGACTCTGAGGGAGAGGAGGAACAGCCGACAGGGAGGTGTGGCTCTGGAGGTTGTGGAGGAGGCTGGGGAAGGGCAGAGGCCGGCTGAGCAGTCAGAGAAAGACTTAGGCCCATCCCCTCTTCATCCTAGGCCATCCTAGGAGAGGATAAGGGAGAGATGTGGATGGCATGGTCTATGGGGGAGGAAAGGGCCTTGATCCTCTTCATGGGCTGCAGCTGTGAGAACTGGCTAAAAGGACGGACATGCGTATGGGCCAGTGCAGGAAACAAAGCGTGGAAATATCTCTAGTCTGTCGTTCCTCTCTGAGTTTGCCGTCCTTCCCGGTGTGTGTTCCGATATCTGTGGACGTCTTGCTTGGATCCCTTAATTGTTTCAGTGTTGTTTTTATTCTTTATAATTTATAGGCGTTTTTAGTTTAAACGGCATTTCGTCTTTTTCGTAACTGCTTGTGGGGGAGTTTTTTTGTCTCCAGTCAAGGATATTTGGAGCTTGGAAGCAAAGTGAAGGAATAAAAGGGGCTCCGTCTGTTTCGGGGACTTTATTTTGTTATCCCATCCTGGGTCATCATCACAGGAGGAGTCAAGTCACCAGGCAGCCGGACAGCATCTTGATTGGACCATGTGACTGATTGTTTCGGGAAAAGGGGAACAACTTTTAATTAGGTGAAAACCACGGGAGTTGGGGAGTTTTCAGAGTCGGTGTTTCACCAGCCCGTGCCAATATGATATCCAATAAACCTGTTCTTTGAGGAATTCACCTGCCTCCGAGTTCTGTTGGCTATGGGTGTATTACGTGGAACCCTGACACCGGATTCATTTAAGAAGCACCCGACTGCAGTGACCCCCTTAAGAACTGTGGAATGGGAGCGACACTCACTTAACAAAAGTCTCACTTAAGCAGAGGAGATTTTGGGCTCAAATGAGGGTGTCAACTCATAAAATATTTCTATGGTCTTTTTAGAGTTGCCAACAGGGGCAAAAGGGGGTTTGAAAGAGCAATGCGGCAGCTTGGAAATCGAAAGTGCATTCCATATATAGTTTTTCCAGAGATTGTAACTAGGTGACTGAAGTTTCTGCCGGGCAAAATTCTAACTGGAGAACCTGATTGATGACTCTTGGCTATGGATGTGTCCCATTGGAGAATATGAATTATGAGAACAATCAACCCATGGAACAGAAGTTGCCCTCGGAAGTTGTGGGAGCGCCATCACTTGAGACTTTCAAGAAGAGATTGGACTGCCATTTGTCAGAAAGGGTGTAGGGTCCCCCGCTTGGGTGGAGGGCTGGACTAGAAGACCTACAAGGTCCCTTCCAACTCTGATTATCTGTTATCTGATACACCAAAGGAGCGGGGGCGGGGGGAACCAGGGTCAAGGGGGACAATGAATTATATGTCTCAGAGTCTGCTACACCCAGGCAGTGCCGGACATGTTAACTCCCAATAAATCCTTTTGAAGTTTTGGAAATTTGACTCAAGACTCATGATTTAAATGGGGGTGACTGCCGGAATCCTGACAGAGGACTTCTAGTGAAGACATTTTTCTCCAACAGTGTTGGAGACACTGTTCCAATTTTCCCAGGAGATCAACATAAGAAGGGACAGCAATACACGTTTCGGGGTGGCCTTGCCTGGAATTTGCGCCGGAGAGCCTGGGTCATCAGTGGGGTCAATCCTGTGCCAGTCTCCATGTTTTCTTTGTTATTCATTGGGGTTCCCCCTGGACTCCTGTTTAAAAAAAAAAAAAAGAGAGAAATAATAATGCCATATTATGGGTAGTCCCTGACCTACATGAGCTCATTTAGTGAACGTACAAAGTTACGACGGCATGGAAAACTTATGACCGTTGCAGTATTCCCCACGGTCAGGTGATCAAAATTCCGATCCTTGGCAACTGACTCATATTTATGACGGTGACAGGGTCACGTGATCCCCTTTGGCGACCTTCCGACAAGCGAAGTCCATGGGGAAGCCAGATTCACTTAACGAACAAGTGGCTAGCTTAACAATGGCAGTGATTCACTTAACAAACGAGGCAAGAAAGGGGGTAAAAGGGGGCCAAAATTCACTTAGCAAATTTCTCACTTAGCAACACAAATCCTGATCTGACTTGTGGTCGTAAGTCGAGGACTACCTGTAACAGAGCTGGAAAGGACCTTTCGAGTCTTCTAGTGCCATGCCCTTCTCAAGCAGAAGGCCCTATACCACTTCAGACCTAGCTGTTAACTTTTATTCATCTTAATCTATATATATATAAAAGCGAAGTGCCCCTCGCGCATCATCACAAAGATCTCCAGAACTGTAAAGCCTGCAAACTTGAAATTTGGCACCTAAGTTCCTCTTGGCTTCTAGGTGCTCACTAAGAAAGGATTTTGTTAGGAATTGATAGCCACCTAAAGGTTGGTTGGATTGGAAATATATAAACCAGGATAGACATTTAACACTGTCTCTTTAAGGGAATGCTAAATTTGTAATTGGGTGTGGTTCCTCAAACGGCCATAAGATGGAGCCAGAAACCTGGGTTGTTCCGTTCTGTTATTGTTAGCTGCTAGTTGTTTTGATGTTCAGTGTTCTTGGTTCCTGCATTTTTCCCTATTGACTGTTGCTAATCTTCTTCTTGGATTGCTTTAAGTGTGCTACTGAACTGTTTATGATGGTGGACTTTATTATTTGGATTATCCCTGGACTGAATACTGACTGCTTTAACCGTGTATGACTTGGACTGTTTGTTGGACTTTGCTTAACCGTTTAACTGGAAGTAAAAACCTACATTTTACTATTCAGTGTATCTGTGTGCTGGTCGTGTGTTTTTCAACATCACTCTCACTACGTCTCCCTGTGTGTACTCATTCTCCTAATGGGGAATTACCTCAACAGATTTTCCGAAATGACCCCCAGGGCATTACCATTTCCTATATTATTATTAACATGCTCTGATGCTAAGTTCTACTCCCCCTCCACATCTGAAAAGAAATCTGTTCCAAATGCAAAACACAAGCAGAAGAGTTTCAATTTCAGAGCACCAAGCAGCTTTAGTACAGAACAGTTGAGCTAAGCCGTGCCCAGGCTCCTTGCTGTCTCCTTCTTGCTCACACAGCAAATGCTATTTCAGTTTTCATGTTTCAGTTTCCAAACAGTGCTCAACTCTCTTACACACTGACAGGATGCTAGCCAGATGAATACCGATGGATGCTGGTAGGCAGAAGCGCAATTTTTTCCCCACTTATTTTCCTCCCCAAAAACTAAGCCCAATCACATAGTTTCGTAGTGAAGCACGGGTATTGAGCTAGTAATTAATATTAGTGTTATTAATAATTAATACTTTTGTATTACTGCAGTGTAGGTGGTTCTTGGCTTATGACCACAATCAATAGAATTTCCGTTGTTAAACAGAGCACTTGCTAATTGCATTAAATTATGCGACCTTCTTTGGCCAGAGTGGTTAAGCAAATCCTTGCAGCTGTTAAGTAACTCATGGGGTCCTTAAGTGAATCTGGCTACCCCTATTCACTATGCTTGCCAGAAACCAGCTGGGAAGGTGATTAATGGCGATCACCTGGTCCTGGGATGCTGTGAACATCTTACATACATGCTGGTTCTCACATTCTTAGTATTTCTGCAAAAAAATAGTTGTAAAATCACCTGAGGAGTCTGTCAACGACAGCATGGCTTAACAACTGAAATTCCAGACTCAATTGTGATCATAGTTGAGCACTATCTATAGAGTTAAGTCCTTGACTTCATTTAGTGACAGTTCAAAGTTACAAGTGAAAAAAGTGACATAACTATTTTTCACAGTTACGACCTTTGTAGCATCCCCAAGATGATCATCATCATCTTTTAATGACCCCCTAATCCCTTGTGGGATGGAACCTAGGCAATTGAATCAGAGGTGGGTATTCAGCAGGTTCTGATCAGTTCTGGAGAACCGGTAGCGGAATTTTGAGTAGTTTGGAGAACCGGCCAATCCCACCTCTGACTGGCCCCGCCAACCCCATCTCTTCTCTGCCTCCCCTTGAGTCCCAGCTGATCAGCTGGATCTTCTTTTGTTGCCCTGCACAGGAGAATGGAGCTGGAAAGCAGGTTAGTGCTAGTGGGGTGGGGAGGGAATGAGGGTTTTGCAGTATCCTTCCCCTGCCACGCCCACCAAGCCACGCCCACAGAACCGGTAGTAAAAAAATTTGAATCCCACCACTGAACGGAATGAAGCTGGCAGAGGGATTTAATGGCCGGATGCCCTTCCTTGTCGCCAATGAGGAGTTTTGTTCAGCTGATATATTGTGTGCCCAGAGAGAGAGAAATATCTGTCTCCATGTTAGGATCAAACTCACAGCCTCCGGATTGTGAGGCGAGAGCTCCACCTCTAGGCCATCACACCCCTCCTTTAAGAACCCCATGATCATGTGACCAAAATTCAGAGGCTTGGCAACTGGTTTGTACTTATGACCATTGCAGTGTCCCAAGGTCATGCGATCCCTTTTCACGATCTTCCGACAAGCAAACTCAACAAGGAAGCCGGTTTCGCTTAAGAAAGTTCAAAACATCCTCAAAGATCCATCTCATCCTTTTTTTTAACTATTACCATCATGAGCCTCTGTGGTGCAGTGGTTAGAGTGCAGTACTGCAAACTACTTTTGCAGCCATTTGCCTACAATTTGGCAGGCTCAAGGCGGACTCAGCCTTCCAACCTTCCGAGGTGGTAAAACGAGGACCCAGATTGTTGGGGGCAAGAGGCTGACTTTGTAAACCGCTTAGGGAGGGCTGGAAAGCAGTGTAAAGTGGTATATAAGTCTAAGCGCTAGTGCTATTGCTATCTGGCAGTCGGTACAGAATAATAAAAACAAGGACAAATAGGCTGAAAAACAGCTTCCATCCCAGGACAGTAGCTCTGTTGAATTCTGCTGTACAGTGCAGGGTTGGTTTGGTGTCGAGGGTTTTCCGTTCAATGTGTGGAGGGTGAAGGATGTGTGTTTGTGTTTTATTTTCAATGTGCACTGAAGATGGTGTTTGATTTCGTTGTATGAGGCAGGGGTCCCCAACCACCGGTCCCCGGACCAGTACCGGTCCGTGGAACAATTTCTACCAGGCCGCCGGTTTGCTGGGTGCCGCCATCTTGTTTTGATGAAAAAGTGCTTCCGGTGAGCTTTTCTGGGTAGAAAGTGGCGTTTGGGTCCTGAAGGAATCCTCGCGCCTTAGTTTCCTCGAGGTGGGGGCGGCTTCGAACAAAACTAAGGCGCGAGGATTCTTTCAGCACGCATGGCAAGGCGAGCCGAGTGACCGTCCCGAAGCCGTCGTGAAGCCCATCAACACAGGTACAAAGGGGGAGTTGAAGGTGGTGGGGAGAAGCGGGGGACGGCTGGCTGGCCGGTCGCTCAGCTCGCCTTGCTATGTGTGCTGATGCCGGTACCGGGCCACGGATGATTTTGTGATGCCGGTACCGGGCCGTGGCACAAAAAAGGTTGGGGGCCACTGGTATGAGATGCAATGACAATAAAGTAAAAACTAAACTAAACTAAGCTAAACTGATCACTGTGCCATCCTCACAACTCTAGTTGGCGATAAGTTACTAACTTATCATCGGCACTTACAACTCTGGCAAGGAAGACAATAAATTATCGGCTCCCTGTTTGTGGTCATAAGTTGAGAACTACCTCACAGAGGGATTGAAAGGAAGGTCTGCTCATAACGTACAGGTAGTCCTCAATTTACAAGAGTTCATTAAGTGACCGCTCAAAATTATAATGGCATTGAAGATAAGTGACTTATGAGCATCTTTCACACTTACATAAACCGCCCATTCATTCTTCCCAAAGGATAAAGCAGCACACAGGTAATCTTTTCACACTTACGACCGTTGAAGCCTCCCCAAGGTCACGTGACCAAAACCCAGATTCTTGGCAACAGACTCACATTTACGACGGTTGCAGCATCCCGAGGTCCCCTTTGAAGACCTTCGGACAAGCGAGGAAGCCAGATTCCCTTAACAATCGTCTGACCGACCTAACAACCGCACTGATTCACTTAACATCGGTGGCAAGAAATGTCGTAAAATGGGATAAAACTAACTTAACAACTGCCTCGCTTAGCCACAGAACGTTTGGAGCACCAATTTGGTCGTCAGTCGAGGACTACCTGTATAGAGCTTTGGGGTCATTTCCCATTGGATGTCCCTATGTCAAGAGTGCCCCTCCCATCTCCAAATTTTATTGGTAGAGGGGAAAAAAAATAACCTACTGGTTTACCTTTGAATAGCGACTTTTTTCAAGTGTTTCCGGAAATCTAAACCGTCTCTGTTGGGAGTGCTACAAGGAGGAAACGCAAAGGACAGATAATAAGGTTAGAAAATCGCTCCGTGGGCCCCCATTCAAACATCAAGTCACCTCCAAAAACTTCACACGAGGGCAAAAGGTCTTACTTGAGAAAATGTGTGACCCGAGGAAGCGTCTGGGGGGCTTTGGGCTGGAGACGGATGCTCTGCAGATCCCGGAGAGTAACCAGCGCCTTGCCTCCCTTGGATGGGGATGTTTCCTGCAACAGGAAGGGGTGGGGGAGCGGGAAATGGTAGCCTTACATCTTGAAATAATAGAATCACAGAGAATCACGGAATTGGAAGGGACCCTGGAGGTCTTCTAGTCCTATATTCATGATGGCGAACCTATGGCACGCACGTCACAGGGGGCGCGCAGAGCCTTTTGTGCCGGCATGCGAGCCACTTGCAATGCGAGCCATTTTAGCAATTTTTTTTTCTCCAAAGAGATTAAAATTAAGACAATTAGCCCTCATGTGCCAACTAATCTTTGTCTCCTGAAATTGCATGAAGGAGTAATAAACTTATTTCCCACTATCCAATTACTTAAGCAATAATTACAAAAACGTTAACAATTGGGTGACTCTTTAATGGCCCAAAACAAAAGACCTGTGAGGCAAACTTGCCTCACAGCGCATGCGCGTGCCTCACAGCTGATTTTCGGCCTCTTTGAGGCCTTTTTCAGCCCCAGAGGCTTGAGGAAAGCCTCTGCAGCCCAAAAAATAAGCCCCTTTCGTTACTTCCTATTTTGGGGGTTGCAGAGGCTGCAGAAGTTTTCATCAAGACTCTGGGAGGCCAAAAATCAGCTGGGAGGCTCAGTGCAGGTAAGGGGGTGGCAGCGGGGGGGGGATTGCGTGAGCATGCACAGGGAGCAGGCACATTGCCTTCTGGGTGTTGGCACGCAAGCGCGCACACAATTTTTGGAAAAAGGTTAGCTACCACTGAGCTATACCATTGGTATATGGCAAGCTGTTCCATGGGTTGATTGTTCTCACAGTCAGAAAATTCTTCCTTATTTCTAGGTTGAATCTCTCCTTGATCAGTTTCCATCCATTATTCCTTGTCTGGTTTTCCAAGATACCCGAAGGCCAGAGAAGGAATAACGGATGGAAACTGATCAAGGAGAGATTCAACCTGGAAATAAGGAGAAACTTTCTGACAGTGAGAACAATCAACCAATGGAATAGAAGTTGCCTTCAGAAGTTGTGGGAGCTTCATCACTGGAGGCTTTCAAGAAGAGATTGGACTCCCATCTGTCAGAAATGGTGTAGGGTCTCCTGCTTGGGCAGGGGGTTGGACTAGATGACCTACAAGGTCCCTTCCAACTCTGTTAATTTCAGACATGTCTTTCCAAAGAGGCTCCAGCAAGTTGAGAGAGCATAACTAATCTTCACTTACACAAACCATAATTAAGACTAGACAAATCATTGCAGTTGTTAAATGAACCATGCAGTCTTTAAGTGAATCTGGTTTTAACGATGGACTTTGCTCACCGGAAGATCGTAAATACAGGTAGTCCTCGACTTACAACAGTTCGTTTAGTGACTGTTCAAAGTTGCAACGACACTGAAAACAGGGACTTAGGAACATTTTTCACACTGACTGGGCAAACTTTGTAGCATGCTCATGGGATCAGAATTCAGAAACTTGGCACCTGACTCATACTTACGACCAAGATGATGTGATCCCCTTTTGCAACCTTTTGACAAGCAAAATCAACGGGGAAGCCAGATTCACTTAACAACCGTGGTGCTCACTTATTAACTGCAGCGACTCACTTAACAATGGTGGCAAGGAAGGTCGTAAAATGGGGAAAAAAGTCACGTAACAAATGTCTCACTTAACAAGAGAAATTTGGGGCTCAACTGTAGTTGTAAGTCGAGGACTACCTGTAATAGAATGACAGACCGGGAAGGACACTTGGAGGCCTTCTAGCCCATCCCCCTGATCAGGCCAGGCTATCACCAGAGCCCTCTGCACTCTTTGGGGTAATAAACTACTGTGATGCCTCACTTAATGACCATGGTAAAAATGGCCATAACATCAGGTACGCTCAAGTGATGACCACACTATTTAAAAATAAATTAACTGCTCCCTGTTTGTGGTCGTAAGTTGAGAACTGCCTGTACTTTTCCTTCACAGAGGGACTGAAAGGAAGGCCTGCCAAACCCATTGTTCATTACCTACAGGTAGTCCTCAATTTACAACGCAAATGATTCACATTTATGTCGGTTTCAACGTCCTGGGGTCCCCTTTGGCAACCCTTCGAACGAGCGAACTCAACGGGGAAGCCAAATTCCCTTAACAACCGTGTGACTGACTTAACAATTGCAGGGCTTCACTTAACATCCGTGGCAGGAAAAGGTCGTAAAATGGGACAAAATTCAGTTAACAATCGTCTCGCTTAGGCAGACGTTTGGGGCTCAAATTGTGGCCATAAGTCGAGGACTACCTGTATGAAGAAAGCAGCTTATCCGAGCTGCAAGCGTGCTCAACCATCTCATTTCTGGATTACCTTGTCCATCGCTGCTTCACTCTTAGTCTTCTTCAGCTTCACGTTCAGAAGATCCTGGGCTGTTATTTGCAGGGGGACCTCTTTTTTTAACGGGGCAGCCTACATTTGAGGAGAATTGAATGGAAAAGAAAGGTCAGAATCCACGAATCACTCAACCACGAAAAGAAAACATTAGTTAGGGAGTTGCTTGGAGCTGCTTGGATTGGCTGCATTGAGCAGAGGGTTGGATTTTATGAGGTTTTCAGTGCTTCTTCCGGCCCTCATCCCCATTTCCGTCACAATTTTGATATTTTTCCCCCCAATTTTTTTTTTCACATACAATAAATCCATTCCATTTCAACCGTGTGCTGATTGGGTACATATTTCGTGTGCTTACAATTAATAATACCCTTATCCATATAACAATAATCACATTCCCAGATGAATAATATAAGTACTATCCAAAATACACTGCTCATAAAAATAAAGGGAACACAAAAATAAGACATCCTAGATCTGAATGAATGAATTATTCTTATTAAATACTTTGTTCATTACATAGTTGAATGCGCTGACAACAAAATCACACAAAAATTATCAAAGGAAATCAAATTTAGCAACCCATGGAGGTCTGGATTTGGAGTTACACTCAAAGTTAAAGTGGACAAAAACACTACAGGCTGATCCAACTTTGATGTAATGTCCTTAAAACAAAGTCAAAATGAGGCTCAGTAGTGTGTGTGGCCTCCACGTGCCTGTATGACCTCCCTACAATGCCTGGGCATGCTCCTGATGAGGTGGGGGGTGGTCTCCTGAGGGATCTCCTCCCACACCTGGTCTAAAGCATCCCCCAACTCCTGGACAGTCTGTGGTGCAACATGGTGTTGGTGGATGGAGCGAGACATGATCTGCTCAATTGGATCCAGGTCTGGGGAACGGGCGGGCCAGTCCATAGCATCAATGCCTTCATCTTGCAGGAACTGCTGACACACTCCAGCCACATGAGGTCTAGCATTGTTGTGCATTAGGAGGAACCCAGGGCCAACCGCACCAGCATATGGTCTCACAACTGGTCTGAGGACCTCATCTTGGTACCTAATGGCAGTCAGGCTGCCTCTGGCAAGCACATGAAGGGCTGTGCGGCCCCCTAAAGAAATGCCACCCCACACCATTACTGACCCACTGCCAAACCGGTCATGCTGGAGGATGTTGCAGGCAGCAGAACGTTCTCCACGGTGTCTCCAGACCATGTCACGTCTGTCACATGTGCTCAGTGTGAACCTGCTTTCATCTGTGAAGAGCACAGGGCACTAGTGGCAAATTTGCCAATCTTGGTGTTCTCTGGCAAATGCCAAACATCCTGCACGGTGTTGGGCTGTAAGCACAACCCCCACCTGTGGACGTCGGGCCCTCATACCACCCTCATGAAGTCTGTTTCTGACCGTTTGAGCAGCCACATGCACATTTGTGGCCCGCTGGAGGTCATTTTGCAGGGCTCTGGCAGTGCTCCTCCTGTCCCTCCTTGCACAAAGGCAGAAGTAGCTGTCCTGATGCTGGGTTGTTGCCCTCCTAGGGCCTCCTCCATGCCTCCTGATGTACTGGCCTGTCTCCTGGTAGCCCCTCCATGCTCTGGACACTACGCTGACAGACACAGCAAACCTTCTTGCCACAGCTCGCATTGATGTGCCATCCTGGATGAGCTGCACTACCTGAGCCACTTGTGTGGGTTGTAGACTCCGTCTCATGCTACCACTAGAGTGAAAGCACCGCCAGCATTCAAAAGTGACCAAACCATCAGCCAGAAAGCATAGGAACCGAGAAGTGGTCTGTGGTCACCACCTGCAGAACCACTCCTTTATTGGGGATGTCTTGCTAACTGCCTATGCTTTCCACCTGTTGTCTATTCCATTTGCACAACAGCAGGTGAAATGGATTGTCAATCAGTCTTGCTACCTAAGTGGACAGTTTGATTTCACAGAAGTGTGATCGACTTGGAGTTACATTGTGTTGCTTAAGCGTTCCCTTTATTTTTTTGAGCAGTGTATCTATTTCACCAGTTTCTCTTATTGCCTTATAACTACATCTAATCCATTTTGCTTTATTTTATTTTCTAACCATTGGTAAAACAAATCCCACACCGTGTAATATTCAGATTCTTCCTTTTTTTTGATTTCCAATGTTAGTCTATTCATTTCTGCACATTCCAATATTTTTTTTTTTATTACTTTTCCCTCTATCGGTATCTTATCACTTTTCCAATTCTGAGCAAATACAATTCTAGCTGCTGTTAAGATATGTATGATTAAGTATGTTTTTTTTCTTTACTATAAGCAGGTCTTTATAGATCCCAGGTTGGCTGGGATCTCAGGGAGTTTGGTTAAGCAATACCCAGAGCGGTTCTCTTTCTCCCAAAAGGCCTCAGAAGAACTTCCATGTTCTGACCCAGCTTCCCAAACACGACAAACCCTCTGAGGTGAACTCGAAAGATTCCTTTATTAGGCGCTCCGGCAGCCCCGGCAAAAAGTTTATCTCGCAGGCTAACAAGTCTGTCCATCCAGAAGATGAATAGTTGTCTGCCACATCTATTCATCTCCGCCCCCTGCCTTTTATCCCCAGAGCTAGGGTCAAGCTTCGCCGGCAGCAGTGGCTCTTCCTTCTGAAGGACCGGCCTATAGATTTCCATTGCTCTCCTCTCCTCTGACCTGGGGCTGTTGACTCTCCATCCGAGGCTCTCTCTCTCCCTCTCTCTTTCTCTCTCCCCATCTTTTTCTCTCTCTCTCCCCCTCCTATCTCTCTCCCCATCTCTCGCTCTTTCTCCCTCTTCTCTCTTTCTCCCTCCTTCTTTCTCTCTCTCCCTCTTTCCCCTCTTCTCTCTTTCTCCCTCCTTCTTTCTCTCTCTCTCTCTTTCTCCCTCCTACTCTCTCTCTTTCTCCCTCCTTCTCTCTCTTTCTCCCTCCTTCTCTCTTTCTCCCTCTTCTCTCTTTCTCCCTCCTTCCCTCTCTCTCTCCCTCTCCCTCTCTCTCTCTCTCTAAGAGCTCCATTCCCTCTTCCCCCTCGGAGCTCTCAGGTTGCCTGGATGCTAACCCCGACTCCCATGCTTCTTCCTCCTCCTCCTCCGATTCGGCTGCTGGAGGGGCCGGCGGCCGACAGGCCACAACATTCCAGAAGTGAACACCAGACTGTATCATTGCAGTAGAATTGCTTCACTTCAAAAAAAAAGACCAAGAATCACCAGTCAAAAAAGACCAAGAATCACCAGACTTATGGACAGCCGAGGAACCAAAATGCAAAATATTTATTTTTATTTATTCACATCCTGTCTTTATTGTTTTTATAAATAACTCAAGGTGGTGAACACACACACACACACACACACACACACACACACTAACCCTTCCTCCAATTTTTCCCACAATAACAACCCTGTGGGGTCGGGTGGATTGAGGGGGATCGGCCCAACATCACCCAACTGACTTTCATTCATAAGGTGCAACTAGAATTCACCCTCTCCTGGTGATTGGCCCAAAGTCACCGGCTCTCATGCTTAAGGCGGGACTAGAATTCACACGCTTCTAGTATTGGCCTAAAGTCACCCAGCCTCAAGACTAAGGTGGGATTAGAACTCACCATCTCCTGGTGATTGGTCCAAAGCCACCCAGTCGCCTGTTATGCCTAAGGCAGGACTAGAATTCCCTGTCTCCTGGTTTCTAGTCTTAGTGCCTTTACCATTGGAGCATCCCTGCATTTGTAATGCAGGCGGAGTGTCAAGCACCCCTATTTTGTCAGGCTGTGAAGATATTTACAGTCGCCTCACATCCCGGACATACACTGTTTCAACTCCTTCCCTCAAAACGACGCTATAGAGCCCTGCACACCAGAACAACTAGACACAAGGACAGTTTTTTCACGAACGCCATTACTCTGCTAAACAAATAATTCCCTCAACACTGTTCAACTATTGACTAAGTCTGCACTACTATTACTATTAATCTTCTCATCACTCCTTATCACCCATCCCCTCCCACTTGTGACTGTAGGACTGTAACTTTGTCGCTTGTATCCTTATGATTTCTATTGACTGTTTCCTAGTATGATTAGATTGCTTATTGTACCCTATGACTATCATTAAGTGTTGTACCTGATGATTCTCAATTCTTGATGAATGTATCTTTTCCTTTGTGTACACTGAGAGCATTTGCACCAAGACAAATTCCTTGTGTGTGTCCAATCATACTTGGCCAATAAAGAATTCTATTCTATTCTATTCTATTCTATTCTATTCTATTCTATTCTATTTCTATTTCTATTTCTATTTCTATTTCTATTCCTATTCCATTCCATGATCACACGGGGACTGCAACCCTTGTAACTTTGGGGACAGGTTGCATGTACCATTTCTTCCGTGCTCCCTTAAGTTTGAACGGTTGCTGAAGGAACCGCCGTTAAGCGAGGACTAGCTGGCCTTTGCGTCTCTCATGAGCTAAATCATAGTTCGCTGGATTTAGCACAGTTAGCCTTTCCAAGCATCACAGGGTCTTCCATTTAGAAAAGAAATTCAAAAATTTATCTCTGGTAGGTTTTAACTTCCGTCTTACCTTTGGGTCACTCCGTCTTTTGAATCCAAGGGGTGCCGGGGGGGGGGGTGGAAGTGGCGGTGGGGGGAGGCGGGGGGGGAGGGGGGGGGGTGGGATTTTCTGAAGACAAAGGTGCAGGTTGTGCAACGCAGAGTTGTGTATGTGCAGAAGCTGATAACAGGTTTGGAGAGAGCTGGCAAGGCGGGTTTCCCACAGAAGTGCCTCCATTCTGCTTGAGAAAGCGGGGGAGAAAGAGAGGCATTTAATTTACTTATTAGCACTGGCAGTCTTTGACTTACAATAGTGCCAACTCATAAAATATTTCTATTTAGGTCTTTTTAGAGTTGCCAACAGAAAGGGAGGGGGAAAACAGTGTGGCGGCTTGGAAATCGAAAGCGCATTCCGTAGTTTTCAAAGATAATAACTAGGTGACTGAAGTTTCAGCCGCACATAATTATAAACTGGGGAACGTGATTGATGACTCTTGGCTATGGATCATGTGCCCAGGGGTGGGATCCAACCAGGGTAATTACTGCTTCGGTGATTTACGATTTGCTGCGCGCGCATGTGAATTGTTGTCAGCTTGCGACCTGAACAGCTGAGCAGTGATGCGCGCAGGTGCACAGCGGTTGAAAATGCACTTTTTTCTTGCTTTTCCAACCGCAGCTGTGCTGCGCAAAGCGGCTGAGGTTGAAAAAGCAGGAAATAAAAATCCGGTATAAGAGTCCGGGTAGGCGGGCGGGCGAAAACAGCAGCAGACAAAGAACCGATTCTATGTCTGCTGCTCTTCAGAGCTACCGGTTCTACAGAGGCGGACAGAAACAGTAGAATCCCACCTCTGGATATGCCTCATTGGAGAATATGAATTATAATATACCCAGGAGGTGGGGGAAAAAACCAGGGTCAAGGGTGACAATGATGTGTCTCAGAGTCAGCTACACCCAGGCAGTGCCGGACATGTTAACTCCCAATAAATCCTTTTGAAGTTTTGGAAGTTTGGCTCGAGACTCATGATTTAAATAGGGGTAATTGCCGGAATCCTGACAAATAGTTTATTTAGTGACCCTCTGAAGTTACAAATGGCACTGAAAAATGACTCATGACCATTTTTCAGAGTTACAAAATTCAAAAGAGGCTTGGCAACGGACTCCTATTTATGACCGTTGCAGTGTCCCAAGGTCAACTGATTCCCTTTTGCGACCTTCTGACAAGCAAAGTCAACGAGGAAGCCAGATTCACTTAACAACCAAGTTCTTAACCGAACAACTGTAGGTGTTCACTTAACAACTTGTGGCAAGAAAGGCTGTAAAATGGGACAAAACTCACTTAACAAATGTTTCATTTAGCAACAGAAATTTTGGGATCAATTGTCGAGGACTACCTGTAATTACAATTAAAATTTTAAAAATATTTTAAAACATTAAAGCAGAAAGCAGTAAAATGTCGAAGTCAAACTGTCAGCTTTGGAAGCCATATTAGCACAAGAAGCTTCCATGCTGCCACATTCTTGAGCCTGGGAAAATGGGAGGGGGGGAATTTCTTGGAGCGTATGTGGTTTGATATGATAACATTTTTCTTCTAAGTCAAGGTCATGTTGTTTCTGCACCTGGCTGAGAGGACGTTTCAAGTTGTTGTGGCTAGCCGGCAGCAGGTGCGGACGGCTGAGGAGAGCGAGGACTCAGGTGAGGGGCCAGGACCATCACGGAGTGGACTGCTGCCTTCAGAGATTGTGGGGGCTGGCAGCAACGATGAGGAGGTTCCCGAGGAGCCTGTGCCAAGTGCACGTGCATGAAGGATTACTCAGAGGAAAGAACAATTACAGCAGCACAGGTGACTCGGGAGTAAGGCTGCAGGGTAACGGCCCCTCCTTCAAGAAGATAAAAGCCAGCTGTGAATTGGACGTACTTTGCAGGAAGCAAAGACGTTTTGAAACTCGAATCTTGTGGACATTGCAGTATCTTGGTATTTGAAGACTCCTGTGTTGTAAAATATTTCTAGGTAACCTTATCTGTTATTTTTGACAGCCTCGCCCAATTTTGGCGAGGCTCGTGCTTATCAAAGTGAATTAGTGTGCAGCAGCCTTTTAACCGGGAATTCGTAAGAATCAAAAGGTTTCTGTTCCCTTTGGTTCATGTTTGTTTTATTGGACAAGGGTTTGGGTCAGAACACAAGTGGGTGCAGGGGGTGGATTTGTAATTTTTTTACTGATTGAAGGGAAACCCAGAACTTTCAGATTCGGGATTTCCCAGATGTGTTAGTTTACTACTCTAATAAAAGGAACGTTTGAGAATATGTCTGTCTCTGAGTTATTTATTGGAGTTGAGATTTTCTGGAAAGCTGACATAAACAACATTTTTTTTAAAAAAAAGCAAGCTATCAACATAGTTAACAACATAACTAGGAGGCCTGACCCCTGGCACATGATGCACTGAGAAGTAGTCTTCGACTTATGACCGATCACTTAGTGTCTATCTCAAGTTATGACAGACTCCCCCGAAAGCTACTTCCAACTCATTCTGAAGTTATGACTTCCAGATACACACCCCTACAGTCATGTGAGCACATTTTGAGCTCTTGGCAATTGACTCGCAGTTCCGACCATTTGCAGTGCCCCATGGGACTGCAATATATCATTTTCCCCACCAGAAATAATCTTTTAGTTTTGGTTTCATGAATAAAATACAGCAAGTTATAAGTTTGCTCCACGAGCCATCGTATTTCGCGGCCTTTGGAAACATAAAGACGAGGGGTGCAATCTGATGGGGTCGGAGTAACTACAACCATAGGAAGCGGGTCACTAACTTGGAGAATTGACTGCAGCTCAGCCACGTCCCTTTTCAGGTTTTTGACTTCGGCCCTGAGCTCCTTCAGCTCCTCCAGGTACGTGTGCGAAGGAAATGGTGTGCTCAGAAAGAAGTGAAAAATCTGGAAAGAGAAATAACATAGCAATTTAGATTTATATACTGCTTTATAGTGCTTTACAGCCCTCTCTAAGAGGTTTGCAAAGTCAGCCTCTTACCCCCTAACAATCTGGGTCCTCATTTTACAAACCTTGGAAGGTTGGAAGGTTGAGTCAACCTTGAGCCGATGAGAGCTGAACTGCTGAACTGTCGGCAGTCAGCAGAATTCGCCTGCAGTGCTGCCTTCTAACCATTTTGCCACCACGGCTCATTATCACATTGCCATAGGATTAGAGGAGAAGTAAAGGAAATGGTGCAAATTCAAGTATAGTCTTCTTTTTGGAGTAGTCGACAAGATGACGGCTTAGATACCAGGAGACCATGTGTTCTAGTTCTACCTGAAGCATGAAAGCTGACTGGGTGACTTTGAGCCAATCACCAGGAGACGGTGAGTTCTAGTCCCGCCTTAGGCATGAAAGTTGACTGGGTGACTTTGGGCCAATCACCAGGAGACGGTGAGTTCTAGTCCCGCCTTAGGCATGAAAGCCAGCTGGGTGACTATGAACCAATCACCAGGAGACGGTGAGTTCTAGTCCCCCTTTAGCCACGAAAGCCAGCTGGGTGATTTGGGGCAGTTTCGTCTCCCTCAGCCCAGCCACCTCACAGGGCTGTTGTTGTGATGAAAAAGAGGACAAATATTATGTACCGTGTTACCAGTAGAAGGGAATATTTGTAGCTGAGGGTATTATTATAATACCCCACGGTATTATGCATGTTTGCTGCCTTGAATTATGGATAAATTAATAAAGGCAGAATAACCACCTTCTAAATAAATAAATAATAAACAAACAAATTCAGGTTATAAAACTCAATAAAACTTGGTTCTTGCCCCATGAGCTTCCTTAGAATAAGTCCCTCAAAAGGAAGCTCATTGGGCAAGAACGAAGTTTATGGAAATGAAACCTGGTTGCCGTAAAAATCCGTTATTATGACATCTTCGGTCAGGAGAAAGCATTTTTCTTCTAAGTCAAGGTCATGTTGTTTCTGCACCTGGCTGAGAGGATGTTTCAAGTTGTGGGTGTCCCCAAAAGCTGATGTTCATTGACTGAAATCAAGCTTCCCCATCAATTTTGCTTTGTCAGAAGGTCATTGAAAGGGGATCACGTGACCCTGGAATACTGCGACCGTCATAAATCCATGCCAGTTGCCGAGTCTCCTAATTTTGATGGTGGGGATGCTACAATGGTTATTAGTGTGGAAAAAACATTCACAGTTCACTTTTTCAGGGCCAAACAGACACTCAAGGATTCTACTCCCTGTAAGGCAGCCTCAATAGAAAACAAACTTACTTGTGCAACGTGTCTCTGGCACCACCAACACCAACTAACCGCAGCACCCAGGATATGTTTGAAGGATTCTAATATGTCTCCAAAAGCTAAAAGCCAGGAAGAGAATGGCCATCTTTGGCTAGGGAGGACAACTGGAGACCTGCTGAAAACAACAGCCAACTCTAAATTAACATTTTATTTGCAAAAAACCATGTGTGATGACCCGGGGCATGGCACAAAGGCAACCCAGCCTGATGGAATCCCTTTATTAGCTCCAACTTTGCCCCCATTGTGCCGGTTACCTTCCGGTCTGGAGAAAAACTCTCCTAGGAACCTGCAACAGCCTTTGACTGCAGATATTCCAATCCAAAACGGTGCAAACAGAAAACTTTAAACTATAAACCCAACAAAGCAAGAAGTGAAGTGACATGGCAATAAATCAAGCCAGTTGGGAGGATGCCAGGAACTCCGATAACAGCAGCCAACATTAGATAAACTCAACATTTGTTTCTGACAAACGCCCTTCCCAACTGCCTCTCCTTTAAACTCCCTCCTCAGGTGTGCTTTGTGAAGGGAATCAGGGCTCTTTCCCAACAGGATACTTCAACTACCAGGATGCTTCCAGAATAATGCAGGTAATCTTCGACGCAGGACCACGATCGAGCTTAATTCTTGCTAAGCAAGAATTCAAGCGAGTTTCCCCATTTTTGCCACCTTTCTTGTCACCGTTGCTAACTTATCAACTGTAGTGCCTCACTTAACGACCAAGGCAAGGGAAGTCGCCAAATAGGGCCAAACTCACTTAACAAATGCCTCACTTAACAACTGAAATTTTGGGCTCAATTGTGGTCGTACATCGAGGACTACCTCTGCGCGGGTTTAACAAAAAAATACGTTGGGAATTGCAAAACGTTACCCAGAAATGCTAGAGAAAAGCCACAAACACTTACTTGGCCGGCAAAACTTTTGAAGAAAGACTGGATGAAGATGTCAACGCAATGTGTTTTTTCTCCTTTGACGAGGATTGTGTTCCGGATCTCCATTTTTGGCGCCGTTGTTTAACTCTGGCCATTTTCTCAAATTCCGGGCTAAACTATATCCTCATTCGTGTCGCTAGCCGGAATTGTTTGAGAAGGGTAACGCATATCAGGATATCACCTACAATGAAATCAGATATCTTTATTGCCAAGTTTGACAAGTCTTTAGAATTTTTTTTAAAATAAAGAAATCGTTCGATGCAGCAATTCGTTACGGCAGTGGCTCTCAACTTGTAGTCCGCAGACACTTGGGGGGCCCTGATGTCACAGGGGGTTCCACAAAGGCTTTAAGAAATATTATGAATTAAATATTGAGTTAAATCTTGGGGGTCCATGGCCACAAAAAGTATTTAAAGGGGGCCAGTGGTGAAAAAAAAATGTTGAGAACAACCACATTATTGGGGAAAAAATAGGATAATTAAATGACATAGCTAATTATAGGTAGTCCTCAACTTACTGTCAGGTTCCAAGTAATGCAATCATCCTAAAACGAACTCAGAGGCATTTTCACGCCTCAAAGAACTATTTTATTTAACACTAACTGGTGGAAGCCAGTACTGAAAATTTCCCCGGCTTCCACGTCACTATATTTTTCTAACACTCTTTTCTAACCCTTTTTGGACTTTTCTTTAGCACACGCAATACATACTGACCCGCAAACTCTTGCTTCATTAAGAAATTATAAAAACTGGAATGATTTAAAAGAGCCTTTGATTTATAGATACTGCTAGTTTTTTTTATTGCTTTAGGGTTGGTTGTTTTTTGAATTTATCTGTAGATAGAGAAACTTCCTATTGTTGATTGCTATATAATTGTACTGTGTACATTTTGTTTTTATTTTGGCTACAATTGTAACCCTCAGAGATTTTCTCAATTTGGGGTGGACAATAAAGAAATGGAAGAAGTAAATTAATATTCTAAGCCACAGGTGTCAAACTTGTCATGTCACATTGTTGTCACATGACATATCACGATGTTTTTCCCTCTGTGGAGTTGGGGTGGGCATGGCCGCACATGATGCATCCAGCCTATGGGCTGCCAGTTTGGCACCTTCATCTTAAGCTAATAGTCAGACATGAGATACAGGAAGATGTGTTCAACACAAATCCATCACATGCAGATAACAAGAGGAGTGGACTTTGCTTGATCAGAAGGTCCCAAAAAGTGATCAAATGACCCCATAACTGTTATAAATATGAATCTGTTGCTAAGTGTCTGAATTTTGATCACATCATGATGGGGATTTATTTATTATTTATTTAATTAATTTATATTTCCACCTATTCCCCCATGGCGACTCGAGGCAGCTTACAGAATGTAAAACCATATTTTTAAAAAAAAAAACAATAAAAACTAACAAAAAGGATGCTGAAAAAGTTGTGACTTTGAAAAAGTCGATTTTTTTTCAGTGCCGTTGTAACGTTGAAAGATCACTAAATGAAGTGTTGTAAGTCGAGAACTACCTGTAAACCACTGCCCAAGTTCACCGTTGACCCATCTCGTGGACAAACGATTCGATTCCCACGACCCACTGAATCCGTTGCTCACGTGTCATGCGAACTTGCCCCCAGTGAGCCGAGACTTTACGGCAGAAAGGGGTTTCGTGTCCAGGTCAGGCTTCCTCGGGGACGATCCCGGTCAAACCACCCGGGATGAGCACCTTCCCTAGATGCGAGTAGCCACGTCTGAACTCGCAAGCAGCACCGCCACGCCAAACAATTCAAACTCCGCCGGAGCCAATCACAGCGCAGCAAGTGAGAGCCAACGTTCCATCCGCCTCAAACTTCAAAGCCATGACCGTCCCTTTTGATTGACCGGCCTTTAGCGAATCCTCTTTTCCCGGTTTCCAACGCGAGCCAATCAGAATAAACGTCGGCGAGAATGGGAACAACGAAAGGGGAGGCAGAGCAAAAGGAGGGTATCCACGAGCCGGGCCCGCCTTTGAAAATTAAAAGCTACGCTAAGGGCCAATGAAGCGGCGCATGCTGACGCCCGCCAACCAATCCGGTCTCCCGATTCAGTTTTCTCCCAGATCGCTTCGCTATTAATCAACCAATAGGAAAGGGCGATAGCTTCCAAGCCACTCAATCGGATCTGTCGTTTCATCTTAGGGCGTTATCCCAGGCGTTGTCCAATAGGTGTAAGAATGCCCTCGGAAAAAGCCAATGAGGAAAAGGATGGAATGACGACCGCCCAATAAAGAGCGTCGTTTCTTCCACTCAGCAAAGGGGCGGTCCTGCCAGAGGAGGGGGAGAATGCCAGCGCCTGAGGAATGTCAACTATTCAACATGGAGACGGCGGTTACTACGCTCGAGACCATGGTAAGTCTCGGGACTGCTGGCCGGGCCGCCACCGCGCACAACGGAAGCCGCCGTTCCCTTGAGGACCGAAGCGGCCTCCCGAAGAGCGGCCTAAACGAACGGAAGGAACAAAAGGGGTGGAAAAGCCGCGGAGGAGGGAAGGAATGTAAGAAAAGCTGCCCCCTCCCCCCATCCCGCCGGATTCAACCATTCCTCACGCCTGCAGGGGGGAAGCCCTAGAATAGAGCTGGACGCGCCCATTATTCACCCCGAAAGTGGGGGGGGTTTTGTGGGCTCGCTGCGTTTCTGCTGCCTGGCTGGAGGGGGGGCGTGGTCCGTCGGGGGCGTAGCTTCTTGGGCTGGTCCGTTTCTCCCCCCCCAGCTCGAATTCCCGCGGGGGCGTGGCCAATAGTGCTTGTAGGCGTGGCTTGAATGCTGGGCTGGTTTCAGTGGTGGGTCGCCCCATTTCTCCTGACACCCCCCCCTCCCCAAGCGATGGGGCCTTTGGAAGGCCAGGAGAAAAAAAATGCTGGTTGCATTGAAGGAAAAATGTTGGGAAGAGAAAGTCCATTGAACTAGGCGGTCAATGGCATTGAAAAGAAAAAAAAATAGCCTTTTATTGCCTATAGATAGGCCTCAACTTAATGTTCAGTCATTATCTTTGCTTTAATGACCCCCCTAATCTTTTGTGTGGTGGAGTCTGTGCACCTGAATGGAGCTGAGTGATTATTGGCCAGATGCCTTTCCTGTTGCCAGTGTGGAGTTACATTCAACAGATACATTCTCATGGTGCCCAGAGAGAAATATCTGCCTCTAACCTAGGATGGACCTGGTAGCCTCCTGATTGTGAGGCGAGAGCTCCACCTGTAGGCCACTGCACCAATGACAATTCATTTAGTGACTATGAAATGACAATGGCATGAAAATCCATGTTTCAATTTGCGGCATCTCTGTGCTCACATCAAAATTCAGCTGCTTCATATAATGGACTCTTATTATGATTGCAATGCTTGGAAATCATCTTTTTTGCCACCTTTTGACAAACAAGTCAATGGGGGAAGCCAGAATCACTTAACCGTGTTGCTAACTGAACCACCGGCAAGAAAAGTCATGAAACGGGACAAAACTCAATGACTGTTTTTCCAAGCAGTCAAAATGTTGGGCTCAAATGGTGGTCGTAAGTCAAAGACTGCCTGTATTGAAGTACCTGTGCAAAGTATTGACTTGTTTTGTCTTCTGAAAGCTTATTTAGGGACTTCCTTATCCTGTTGCCCTCTGGAAGGGCTGGGTGGCCTCTAAATCTTCTCCTCTGCCCATACAAAATGCTACCTGGAGTTGATTCCTCTTGCAGCGTAGCAGATCTGGAAAGCACCAGGTTGAGAAAAGCCATTTTCAGCCATGGACAGCTTTTTCCCCATCCTAGTTGGCATTGCAAGAATATTGTGAGGCTAAATGACAACAAGAACTAGGTTTTGTCTAGTGCAGAGGTCTCCAAACTTGGCAACTTTAAGAATTGTGGACTTCAACTCCCAGAATTCTCCAGCCAGCATTGTTGTCAAGTTTGGGGGGCCCTTGTCTAGTACTTAAGACACCAGCCTAGAAACCAGGAGAAAGTGAGTTCTAGTTTTGCCTTAGGCATGAAATCCAACAAAGTGACTTTGGGCCAATCACTGGGAAACTGAGTTCTAGTCCTGCTTTAGATAAATAAGCTGGTTGGATGACATTGGTGAGTTCTAGTCCTGCCTTAGGGATGAATGCCTAAGCTGGGTGACTGTGTATCAATTACTAGGATGCTGTGAGGTCTAGTCCTCCCTCTTAGGCAGGGGTCTTCAAACTTGACCGCTTTAAGACTTGTGGACTTCAACTCCCAGAATTCCTCCTCCAGTCATGTTAGCTCAGGAATTCTGGGAGATAATTTATCTGGCTCTTGCTAAGATGCCAAACAGTCAAACCCCGCTTGGGGTTCCCATTAATTGATTCTGAAGAAATGGAGGATTTGGGAACAGGGTACAGCTATACCTTACAGCAGGGGTCTTCAACCTTGGCAAGTTTACGACTTGTGGACTTCAACTCCCAGAATTCCCCCTCCAGTCAATGTTAGCTCAGGAATTCTGGGAGTTGAAGTCCACAAGTCTTAAACTTGCCAAGGTTGAAGAGCCTTATCTTACAGTCATGACTGAGCCCAAATTTCTGTTGTTAAGCAAGTCTGTTAAGCGAGGTTTGCTTGATTTTACAACCTTAACTGGCAGACAACTATTCACCTTCCGGATGGATTGTTAGAGAAACAACTTTGCTGCTTTGAAAGAGAAACTTTTTGCCAGAGTTGCCAGCACTTCTAATAAAGGGTTCCCTTCAGAAGATTTGTCATGTTTGGGGAGGCTGGGTCAAAGCACTTTTCTTGCCACAGCTCGTAAGTGAATCACGGCAGCTGAGAAGTTAATAGCCACAGTTGTTAAGCGAACCTGGCTTCCCCGTGGAGACTTTGCTAATCAGAAGTTCGCAAAAGGGGATCACAGGACGCTGCAACCTGTCATTTATGTGAGCCAGTTGCCAAGCACCTGAATTTTGATCATGGGGATGGTTGCAAAGGACGTTACTCTGCAAAATGGTCTTAAGTTGCTTTTTTTTCAGTGCCGTTGCAACTTCGAACTGTCGCTAAACGAATGGACGTAAATCAAGGACTACCTTAGTGAGGAATTCTTGAACTTCCCAATGGAACCTCAAATTGATTATGCTTTTAATTTGCATGCTTGTAACTGAACCTTGTAATGCTTGTAATCCTATTTGTCCTTCTAAGTTTTATTTATTACTTATTTATTAAATGTTGATGCCGCCCATCTTCCAAATGACACTGGGTGGCTTGATGGATATTCCAAGGCCTTCCTGCTCTCTCCCGCTTCCATTTTTGCCAGGAATGGCCTCTTGAGCTTACCTTGTCGTGTTTTGAAGAAGAGTTGCAAGCAATTGGGTATGGCTAGTCTAGACCAGGGCAAAGTTGGCTGGGGAATTCTGGGAATTGAAGTCCGCCAGGCTTAAAGTTGCCAAGGTTGGAGACCTCTGGTCTAGAACAGTGGCCCCCAAGCCTTTTGGGCACCAGGGACCAGTTCCATGGAGGGTTTGTTCCGTGGATTGGCGGGGTTATAGTTTACTGTGCCGCCTGCATCCCCTGGATGGGGCTTTGCTTGGTTTGCTGGTTTCTGGCATGCCGTGGCCGGCTGCCGGTCCACCCCTGGTCTAGAGAAGGACCAGGGGTGACATGATAGCAGCCTTCCAATATTTGAGGGGCTGCTACAAAGAAGAGGGAGTCAAGCTATTCTCCAAAGAACAAGAAACAATGGATGGAAACTAATCAAAGAGAGAAGCGACCTGGAATTAAGGAAAAACTTCTTAACAGTGAGGACAATTAACCAGTGGAACAGCTGGCCACCAGACAATGCGGGTGCTCCAACACTGGAGATTTTTAAGAAGAAGACTGGGCAGCCCTCTATCTGAAATGGTATAGGGTCTCCTGTTTAAGCTGGGGGGCTGGACTAGAAGACCTCCCAAGGTCCCTTCCAATCCTGTCATCATTGCTGTTTTCTGGATGGCGAGAGGTGTCCGTCCACTGCCCTTTTTATGTTGTACTACTAGTGAACATGCACAAAAAGCAGTGCAATGTTAAAAGGGCATTGGCCGGTAATGCTCAGTCAGCTAAAAACACAACATGTTAATTGTACAGATTTCGCGAGACTGCACGATGGCTTAAAAGCAGTAATAGGAAATCCCATCTTCCCCTCTGAATTTTTTTTTTGTTTTTAAAGTTTTGCCGCAGAAGCATTAACACACGAGTGCGCTTTGGCCTATGGTACAAGTCTACCAAAGGTTCTGTCTGCTAATCCAGGCATCCTTTGCCTATTAAGAAGAAGAGCCTCGTTTTTGCAAAATGCTTTGTCTAAAAAAGCAGAAAACCAATTTTCCTAGTTATTGAGAGGCAGTTGTTCCCCTTGAGAGGCCGATCTGCAGGAATGCAACTCCCCCTTGCATTCTTTTCATGTTGGGCATGTGTCTGCACACATTGCCCCCCCCTCCCCCCCCCCCCCGCCCTATCCCTCGTGCCAGCACCCAGGCCCAAGGAGGACTGTGCTTATCTCCTAGTTTCACCAATAGCAATAGCACTTAGATTTTTATATCGCTTTGTAGTGCTTTACCGTCCTCTCTAAGCAGTGTACGGAGTCAGCCTCTGGCCCCCAACAACCTGGGTCCTCATTTGACCGAACTCGGAAGGACGGAAGGCTGAGTCACCCTGCAGCCTGGTGAGATTTGAACCGCCAAAGTGCAGGCAGCCGGCAGCCAGCAGAAGTAGCCCTGCAGTGCTGCACTCTAACCACTGCGCCACCGCAGC